AAAAGTCAACTGAACTTTGACCAGCCATAACTTTCACATATTTCATCAAATATTTCCCATCTAAAGCTCATTTTGAAGGCAGTTTAATTCTCTACAACTTTGTGTCTCACAAGTCAAGCCTAAAAATGCTTCATTTGAAAGATATGAGCCAAGACATTATAGGTCCTTTTGAAAGTCAACAAAAAGTCAACTTTTTCCAAAGCTCATAATTTGAAAACGGTAAAAAAATATGGACATGGGACCAAAAGGGTTGATTAGAGGATACCCTAAGATTTCTAAAAAGTCTTAGAACACCGCCATAGCATTAAAATTGAGGAAGTTATGCATTGTCAAAGTTGGTAATTTTTCAAGGGGTGTATGAAGTAAAAAGGGCCATAACTCCAATTCTTTCCAAATGGACCCATAAAATTGCAACCCAAACTTGAAGATGAAGTCATTCATAACCCAATGACCATATTTTCTGATTTTTATCATTTATTTTATATTATTTTTTATTTTTATCATTTAAAATCATTTTTAATTAAAATAAATTATAAAAAAATCAAAGATTTGATTTAAGATTTATTTCGGGATCAAATATATGGTATTCAAAGTGATTGAAGTCATCCAAATTCGTTCAAGACCAATATGGTATGATTTAATTTGATTTTTTTGACAATTATGATAATTGACTCCTTCATCTTCAAGCAACCCATAAAACTCCAACCAAGGCCCAATTGTTTACCCTAATTTACACTACTTTATATACACAACAAAGTCAGAATGAAAAGAGGGAGGAGTTTTTGGAAGCCATAAGAACCATAGAAAAATTTTAAAACAACTTTGCAATAAGATTCAATCAGCTCTACAAGTCCATTCACATTCCTCAAGATCCTAGGAACCTATCCCACAAAGACTTGAAGGTTGAGACCTCACGAAGTGCATCCCATGAACATGCCGCCTCTCATTCTTTTTTTTTTTTGCTTTCTAATCTTTTATTTCATTGCACTTTATCATATTTTCTGTTCATAATGATCTTCATAATCATGTTTAGGTTTGCTTTGATCATTTGTTTGCAAGATATGATGCAGGTTTCAAGAAGTGCTATGGTTAAGGCATAAGCTTTTCAAGAGTCAAATCTCTTCGTACGGATATTTTCAGGCCTTCCCCCATTTATTTTTAGTGAATTTCTTCCTTTTTTTATGTTTTATAGTTATTATTATTAAAATATTATTATTAACTTAATTAACCATTAATCTTTATTAACTGTTCACTAATTATTTTTCTTAAAATAAATTTTATAATATACTTTTATATTTTTTTTCTCTCACATAACTTTTTTTTTTTTAAATTTTATTAATTAAAATTGTAAATGAATATAACTAGGTTTAGATTAATTTAAAAACCCTAATTTTTCACTAACCCTAATTAGACCCTCATTTTCTAAACTTGATCTTTTTTTTAAACAATTAATTTCCTAATTTAATTTATTTTCATTGCTTTATTTATATTATTTAGAGGATTGTATAGAATTTTCCTTATGTAGTTTATTTTTTTGCACCGATTATTCTGTAACTGCCCAGAAGCCGTGTAATAGTTTAGGACTTTACTTCTTGTTTTTTCCCGTAAATATTTAATTGCTTGGTTAGTAATCTAGGGCGTGAAAAGATCTAATTGAATAAATTGGACTTAGAGAATCAATAATAAAAGAAATATCTGATAATAATCACCCACACACGTAAGTCGATCGTTCTACGATCGCCATCTACACCTCCTAGGGTTACCCTTCTTAGTTGCCTTAATATGGTCAAGTCCCTCGAACATAGGGGTGTCTTAAGCGATGTCCCTGCAAACAGATAAATCATCAAGTCCCTTTAAAGTTAAAAAGATCATAGTCCTTTCGAAGTTGCCTACGGAATAAATGATCTTGTCCTTCGATGACCCTACAAAAATGATGATAGTCCCTTCGAATTACTAAGACACCCCTACATGTTGCCTTCTTTGACCATACGATGACCCTACGCCCATCCCTTAACATCCAAGGTAAAGACTACTTACTCACTAATAGTAATGACAGTCTTACCCTTAAAGGAAATAAATAACAAGAAAGACCTTACAAACTTAGGGTAGGTAGCACTTAAATACTTGCTCACTTTTAAAAAAAAAACATTCTTTACACCTCACTTTCAAAATATTTCCAAACTCAAGGCTTTGTATACATCCATACGAGGATCACTACAAAGAACTTCTGAAAATCTTTTCTAAACATACACTTCACATTACTTTTCAAACAAACAAGTGAACTAAGTAACTAAGAGCCCATGGATAACCATGGATATAAAGGGTGCTAACACCTTCCCTTTATATAACCTACCCCCCGAACTCAAAATCTTTTCAAAAAGGTCTTTCCTGTTCTTTTATAGTCTTTCCTATTGGATAAAATAAAAGTCGGTGGTGACTCTTGCTATCCGCACATGTTTTTGTCAAACAAAAATACCAAGTTAGTTCTCCCACCGTGTTACAGTGACCAACAACGTTACAAATATATGTGGAAATAAAAGTTTCCACATGAGCAGGAGCATTGTGGACTCACACTTAAGGGAGAGTATTGGGAATAATATAACAAGCGTAAGTAGTATGAATAATAGTCCGAAATTAGATAGGAATATGGTGACTTGAGCATTTATAAGTGGGAGAACACATACACCTATCACCTTAAGGTTTTAGGTGAATATGTGGTGTCTCTCTCACTTGTGTTGCTATTGGTCCAAATATTAAATGATCCCTAGTGTAAAACTCTTCTAACATGGTATCAGAGTCTGGTTTGTAAAGGGACCAACTTACATGTATCAAAATACTTAGGAAGTGGTGTCCGATTGAAATCGAACTACCTAAGGAAGAGGTGTATTCGAAATACCTAATAAGAGGTGCCTAGTAATAGGTGTCAACAACAATACTATATATGAACAAAAGAGATTCCACATGAGGGGGAGGATTATGGACTCACACTTGAGGGGGAGTGTTAAGAATAATATAACAAGTGCGAGTAGTATGGATAATAGTCTCACATTGGATATGAATATGGTGACTTGAGCATTTATAAGTGGGATAAACCATGCACCTATCACTTAAGGTTTTGAGTGAATATGTGGTGTGTCTTTTACTTGTGTTGCTTTTGGCCTAATATTTAATGCTTCCTAGTTTAAAAGTCCTCTAACAGTTAGGATTAGAATTGTCACTACGTGAAAAGTTGGAGAGAAGAGAAGAGAGAAAGAACTAGGGCTTAAGGAAGAGGAAGAACTTCATTGTTTAAGAACTTTGCTAGGAACTACATGGTAAGGGTGAAAATTTCTTTTGTATAGGATTTTGCATGATGACATGTGGGTGGGTGTCCGATATCTCTTAATTGGATTTTCCCTCTTTATGCTTGAACTTCGTAGTTGTATGATCATGCTATTGGAGTGTATATTTCTCCTTGATTGAACTTTTTAGCTACAATGTTATTGACATAAGACATCACAATACAACTTTCATTTTACATAATTTACACCTAATACAATAAAACTATCAGGCTGCTAAGACTATGACAAAATAAACCCAAGAACAAATAAGTAATACAACTAGAAAAGCCAACTTCTTCCTTGTACTCTCTAACTTATTCTTCATATCTTCCATCTCCTTGAAATACAGTTTTGACCCAAATTCTCTTCTAAATTCCTTCACGAAATCTCTTCTAAATTTTCTCAAATACTCTATCATCACATTACATCTATTGTAACCATTATCATCTTTCTGAATTCTTTTCCTGTCAATAGCACCAAAGTATTCATCATCCCAATAAAATAACTGACAATCTTCTTCTTTCCCCCAAAATTTGCACATCCAATATTTTCTATCAAGATTTGTAGCAGGCTTTAAAACAAACACCTTCATTGAAAGACTGTGTCCACATTTAAAAGTGATTCTACCATTAGAGGACATGCTATTCTTTGAACTCCCGACCATTCATTGCGCACGCAGGATTGAAGGAAGAAGGCACAAGAGTTGATAACAATTAAACAAATAAAATGGAACGAGAAGATGAGAGGTGACTGTGGATTGTAGTTTGAAGGAGGGAGAAGACAAATAACATGTGCGTGAATTGGATTTGGAATTTAGGATTCATGAAATATTACATGTGAAAATGAACTTAAATGAAAAGAAAGAGCACATAAAAATAACATAAATTGAAAATATGTAACTTATTACACACTGTCAATGCCACGTCAAATAATTTGATGAGTTAGTTTAATGAGAAACTGAATCAATAAAATCATCAAATCCTAACATCAAATATTAGGATGAGATTCTAATTTCTTTTTATAAATTTTTTTTCAAATTTCGTCCATAATGGACAAATTAACTATTATTAACCTTTAAAAAAAATGAAAACATCTCATGCCTTTGGATCAGTTTTGTTCGCCTGATAAATCAAACAGCCAATAACAAGCCACGTGTTAATATGTATTTTTTTTAAAAAAAGCTTAAAACGAAAATGAACCCAAAACGAAAACGAGGTGCGGCCAACTTCCATCTCTCTGCTCGCGGCGCGCCGCCACTGTCCATTGTCGCCCCACCGACAACCGAATTCTCCGGTCAACACCGAAGCCACAGCCCCGCTGCAGAGGTCTGTTGATGCCCCTTATTTTTAATCTTCCCCTTCTTTAATTTGATTTCATAGTTGATAAATAACTTTATGGGGACTTCGGTTGAAGAGTAGGAATTATTTTAGCGGCCGCGATTAACTACTTAGGTTAGTGCTTATTGAAAAAAGCACTTATCATTTAAGTGTTTAAGGTCAAACTGTTTTCATATAAATGTATATGTAATAATAAATATTGTGAAAGTATCAATAAATTGGGTCATAGGGTTTAGTTAGGGTTTAAGGACCTGAAGCGTGTGTGTTACTGCTGACTACTGTGATCAGGGGGAATGTGCTGTACTTTATCTTAATATTCTCTTCCCGTGTGTTGTTTACAGGAATGGAAATCAATTTGGGGAAACTTGCATTTGACATTGATTTTCATCCATCAGATAATCTCGTTGCAACCGGACTCATAGACGGCGACCTTCACTTGTAAGTTGCTCTCCATTTAGTCTTTCATAAAGTAACATTATCAGTATTGTTATTTTTGTTGCATTTTTAGTAATTGATGATTATTGTGAATCATGTGTCTCGCAGATACCGTTATAGCCCGGATAATACTAATAGTGATCCTGTGAGGTATAGAAAAATTCTGAACTCCTTTTCTTTATAATTTTTTGGATACTTAAAAGTTGCATGAATATTTATGTTGTTTCCATTTCGTTATTTATTATCATTTTACTAATGCGTTAGCTCATGTTTCTAATTCAACATTGAAATTCCAGGGTGTTGGAAATTCATGCCCACACCGAGTCTTGCAGAGCTGCGCGATTCATCAATGGTGGACGAGGTAATGCACCATATAGCTTCTGGTTCTCATCTTTTTTGCATATATTTCAATCATTATTTTGCTTATGTTACTGATGATTTCATTCAGATGATTTTGACTCTGTATGCTTAATGTAATGTGTGTTTTAGCGCTGTTGACGGGTTCTCCCGATTTCTCGATACTGGCTACAGATGTGGAAACTGGATCAACCATTGCCCGACTTGATAATGCCCATGAGTGAGTTGATTTGTGGCTATAATTCATTTGTCATGATTTGGCTTATAGAATTACTTGTTTGTAGCTTTGTAATTTCTGTGATTCTTTGTTTTGATGCAGGGCTGCGATCAACAGGTTGATAAACTTGACCGAGTCAACTGTTGCTTCAGGAGATGATGATGGTTGTATTAAGGTAATTTGTTAGTTTCATTTCACATTTGCAGCATCTGCTTTTGCTCTGACTTCCAGATTATGCTGTGGAATGCATTGATAACTTTTGGCTTACATATATTCATTCAGTTTAAAACAATAAGTTACTCTATTTTTCAACGTTCGCAACCTTTTTCCCAGCATATAAATTAATTATGGAAAAGATCATACGGAAGTTATTAACTCAATTCTTTTCATTTGATATTCACGTCTTGTAGGTTTGGGATACCAGAGAACGTTCTTGTTGCAATTCATTTGAAGTCCACGAGGATTACATTTCAGACATAACATTTGCATCTGATGCAATGAAACTATTGGCCACAAGGTAGTCAGTCATTCAGTAACTTTTTTCACCTACCTGAAAATATATTTTAGCTTTGAAATTCTTTTAGAAACTTATTGCGCTGCGGCTGATAGTAACTGCTTTAAAAGTAAGCCGATGTAGTACTGCAATAAATTTGTTTGTTGTATATTTGAATAATTCAGTTATTAGCATTATCAAGTTCGAAGGTAGGGATCTATCTTTTTTATCTTGGCAATTATTTAAGCATACTTTCTGTAACTTCTTCAGTACTTGTTATTACATTTACGTTTTTGTTTTAAGTTTCCTATATAGAATATATCATCGTCAAACAGTTCCTTACAACATGCTCCATAAATAATAATGTTTTTCGAATTTTACTTTCTGTAACTTATCAGTGGAGTCTAAAATATATTTTCCTTTTGTTATTAAGTGGAGACGGGACTCTTTCTGTTTGCAGTCTTCGACGAAATAAAGTAAGTTGCATATACATGTTTTATGGTTCCTTTTAAAACATAAACCAATAGACAAACGCTCTTTATCAGCTTTTAAATTTTCACCCACCTTTTTCCTGGTTACTAACAGGTCCAAGCTCAATCTGAATTTTCTGAAGACGAGCTATTGTCTGTTGTTTTAATGAAGGTATCGCATAATCTTCGTGTGTGATTTTGCTGTGAACTTTTCTGTTTTTTATAGGAGTGTTGAAAAAAATGTCACTATGAAGAAGAATTATTAGGCTATGTTTGAATGGGGAATTTTAGAAGGCTAAGTCTACATTTTGGTATATATTTGATATTTTTTTTTTAAATTGAAAGAATAGCATAATAGATGATCATATAACATTTCAAAATCATCCATCCAAACACACCCTTAAGAAACTCCATCTCTGAATTGTTTATTGTGCTATGTTCTTGCTTCATGGTAGAAGTACTAAACGTCATTTGGTTGTTGTATTCATTTTCTATTTAAAATTTTAATTACAGATATAGCACTTTTTTTATTTTATAAATCATCAGAGTCTTATATAACTATTGTTTTCGTTGTTTCCTATACAACATTTGGAAAAAAAAAGAAAGTAGAACAATGTGATATTTTTGTAATTTAAAATGAAAATGATAGGCCTATGTAATACGTGTATAAAAGGCACAAGTACTCCATGCTTGCCAAATACCTCAATTTCGAAGAAGTGTTTTGAATTGATACTAAAAGCAAATTTTAATTATTTAATTGCATTACTAAGCATTTACTTTGCCAATGTCTTTTTGTGCTGAATGGTACACTATGTTTAGTACACAAATGTCATCTATTAAAACATGCACATGGCTAATATTTGCAATTTTGGGCTGGTATATCAGAATGGTAGGAAAGTTGTTTGTGGATCACAAACTGGAATCCTGCTGTTATATTCATGGGGATGCTTCAAGGACTGCAGGTACATGGTGTGAATTGTATCATTATTACATGGTGGAAATCATTTTACTTATATGAAGTAAAGACATCAATTGGATGCTGTCTTCCTATTATATTACTTCTTTTACCTCTGACTGATATTCTAACAAATGGTTAAATTCCAGTGATCGATTCGTTGATCTCTCTTCAAACTCTATTGATACCATGTTAAAGGTGAGTGGATAGCATAACATGATTATTTCATTTCAGCATGCCTTTTTTTACCAACACAGGCATTTTAATTTTTTATTTATTATTATCTTAGCTTGATGAAGATAGGATTATTACTGGATCAGAGAATGGGATGATCAAGTGAGTCTTTAGCAGTTCTAGATCATTGTACATCTTATTTGAATCTTATTACAATCTTTTCATGTCATTCATCTGTTTCATCTGTATACACTCTTTTTATGTTCAGCTTGGTTGGAATACTACCGAACAGAATCATTCAGCCAATCGCCGAGCACTCTGAATATCCTGTTGAGCGTCTTGGTAACAGTCCTACTCTTTTCTCAAAATTTTATGCTGCTGTTTTGGTCCAAGGGTTGAACCTATTGCTCCAAACCTCGATTTCTCAATCATTGGTTTTGTAATTTTATGCTTGCAGTTTTTACAGTTCATTTGCCCTTTGTTTAGAATATTTTGTGTGTTTAGCCTCATTATTGTGTGCTCAGGCACTAGCATACCTTTTTGCGTGTTACCAATTTATTGTTTGTTTGTGGCTTCCAGTAAGTTCGACTTATGATTTTCTTTGGTCTTGTAGCATTCTCTCACGATAGAAAGTTTCTTGGAAGCATTGGTCATGATCAAATGTTAAAGGTATTTTTCGTATCCGTGTTAGATATTGGGGCCATTTCCCTCCACCAGGATTTTGATCTTTCTTGATGTTTTACACAAACACACACATTGGCTTTCCAGCATATACGATATACTATAGACCAGTATGTATTTGGAGTCCCACTAAGATTTATGTGATTGTTGCCCCGCAAACAATTTTAAAAATTTGGTACCTTCATCAAAATAGTGAGGATTTTGTGTAGAATTAATTAATTTCCTCTGTAACTGAAATGGAGACAACTGATAGGATGCAATTACTTACAAAATCCTGAAATAGTTGCACATGCGGACAAATGCAAACTTACATGTGCTGCGCAAAAGACACAGAATGTTGTGCTTATAATGCGGACCTGTATATATTATCATGTCGATTATTTTTATTTGTATCTTACTATGTTTGGATGGGATTATGACATAAACAACAGTTTGCTGCTTACAAATGATGGATAAGACAGTCACAGTAACATGGTTATGTTACCATATTATTCATCAGATGGTCATAGTGGACCTTTAAGGAAAGAAAAAAAAAATACAACTATACATACTGATTGGCTCAAAATGTTGGTTACCAAACTGCTGATATGCCCTTCATCACAATCATGCTGGCGGATCACTCTTAAAAATGTGAAAAAACTTTGGTTGCTTGTGGGTGCATGTGCGTGCGTGTGTGGTTTTTTTGTGTATATTAATGTATATTTGAGTATGTCTGTACTCTACTACATTGTACACAAATAAATTTAGTTGTCTGATCATCCAACATCATTTTCCCCTTTTTGTGCAGCTATGGGACTTGGATAATATAATACAAGGTTCAAGAAGCACACCGAGAAATGAAAATGGGGTGGTTGACAATGATGTCGATAGTGACGACGATGAGATGGATGTAGATCACAATCCTTCTAAGTTTACTAAAGGTAGGCTATGATTGACACAAATACTTTCTACAACACCCCTTATCATAAACTCATTTTACAATTTTCATATATTAATAAAATTATGTATTGTATCTAATGTGTCTAGTTTGTGTATAAATATTCTTAAACTAGAGTACTATACGGGGGTGTTCTGTAAGTCACTTTTTATTGATAACTTTGCAGGGAAAAAGAGTAAGAATGCAAGTAATGGGCATGCTGTAGGTGATTCAAACAACTTCTTTGCAGATTTATAGGACATTTGACTGCACCTTTTTTCCATAATCTACTAAGAACAGTTGCAAGTGTGATTTTCTTATCAACAAGCATCCTCTAGTTCCGAAATTTGTTCTTAAGTTCAGCACTTTTAGAGCACGACCTATCCCAACAGTTTTGATAGCCAAATTATTATTATTAGTTTATTTAGTAATTTATATTATGTTTTGATTTCTAGTAATTTTGTATTTTGATATAGTAATAGTAATGTTTTTTTATTTTAACATATGTTTGTGTGTGATGAAATAATGTAATTCTAAAAAAAAACTTCAAACAGCATACTTATCTCACTGCTCTAATATTTTTGGTACATATACTGCTGATTCTTCTTTCTCTAGATAAAGACTTTGATAGAAAACATAATTTCAAAGACAAGCCGATATAAAATAGAAGTTATAGTATCGTTCCCACAGAATGCATTACGAAAATGAAAATAAGAAATATTTAATTATTTATTTGTAAAGAGAAAGATCAAGTTTGTCTTTTGTTGAACAAAGAAGCGTGTGGCTTTTCATGTTGTGGCTTTTCATGCTAGTTGTTTAAAGTTTTTGTCCAATGTAAGATATTAATTTTTAATAAATTAGTTTTATTAATGTGTTAGAAATAATTTATAGAATAACAATTAAATGATACAATTAAAAAAATTAGTAATTATTACTATATTGAAAAGTGAAAATAATATTTAATTTGAAACAATTTTTTTTTCTATAACAAATTTTTTTTTTAAAACGGAGGAAATACTATTTACCTGAAATCCATGAGTAATTACCCATATGACTAAGATGGTAGTACAGCTTTAAAAGGACTATTTTAGTACCTGAAATCCATGAGTACAGCTTTAAAAAGACTATTTTTCTTTAAGAAATCTAACAATGAGTGGAATGGGTATTTCATGGGATTTTAACTTGCCACTCTCAAATATACTTATCTTTAAATTGTCAAAATTGTCTTTGGCTGAAAAATAAATTAAATTTTGGTTTCAAATTTCCGGTAGATTAAAACCAAAATTTGGAGAGCAAGTTGTAATGATAAAGTTGTCGTGATCAAATTTGTGGTACTTGGAGATCACTTATCAAACTCATATGTGAAAGATAATACTTTATGTTAATTGACATTCAATGAAGTCAATGGAGATTTCTGATCAAGTGGTTTGTCAGATGATGGAGGTTATCCTGAAGTGTTATCTCAAGCCTCATCAGAAAAAGAATTAAAGTTTCAATAAAGTGTTAAAGTCAAATATAATGTGGCAAGAAAACATAAGTTTAAGAGTTGTGAAAGAGAGGATGTATAAAAGCTTATAGTGTTTGTGTCGAGTGATTCATATCTTTAATTGTATAATAAGACTAACTCTCGATTTAATTAAGGCAAATCACCTACGCACTTTTAACCCTTTAAAAGTCATTCTCATTTTATGAAAATCACCCGAAAATGTTTCATGCTTAGCTTATTGGCTAAGAACTTAAAAAGTTCTTTACGAAGACTTTCTACATTGTATAATCGATTATCCCTTAGCCATAATCAATTATCACCTTTTGTAATGCCTCATAATAAATTATTAGGGTTAGTAATTGATTAAGTAATGTATCTTTTTAAAACTTTCACTTTTGTACCTCATAACCGATTATGAGACTTGCATAACCGATTATTAGATTTAAAGGCCTATGAATTGTTTTCATATTTGAACCACCTTTTGTCTTATAAATAAAGGACTTTTTTCTCCTTTCTTACACGCCAAAAAAGTATCTGAGATAACTCTCTCTCTCTCTCTCTCTCTCTCTCTCTCTCTCTCTCTCTCTCTCTCTCTCTCTCTCTATATATATATATATATATATATATATATATATATATATATATATATATATATATATATATATATATATATATATATATATATATATATATATATATATATATATATATATATATATATATATATATATATATATTCTCACATTTTCCTTTGTATTTTGAGAGTGAAATCTTTATATTTGTGAGATAGTTTGGTCTAGTGTAAGGGAAAATTTATAAATTTTCATTGAAAGAAATTTTGTTTTAGTTGTGGGATAAACCAATTTAAAAAGCTCTTATTTGGTTATTGAGGTAAACCAAGTAAAACCTCAGTTTGGTTGTAGAGATTTTAGTAGTTAAAAATTTTAGTCGATTTGTGAACTTAGTATGTTATTAAAAGCTCATAGTTGGTTGTGGAGGTCTCCATAGTTAAAACCCCGTGTTGTATGGGATGTTAGCCATTGAAAAACTCCAATCCTTTATAAGAGGGTTTGTAAAAAAGTCTCGTCAAAAGCTCACATCGTAGTGGAAACTCTCAAGAAATTTTTTTTAGGAAAAGGAGTAGGTCATTTCATTATACTAAACCTCTATAACTCTCGTACTTTTTTCTCATTCCTTAACTCTTTACTTCATAGTCATTTAAACTTCAATTTTACAAAAGATTTTGTTTCGGAAATGGTTTTTCAACCCACATCATTCACCCCTATTGTGTTCGAAGTCTCACGTTTAATATCCTTTATATAGAAAAGAATCTAGATAAAAGAAAACAATCCATGAACATTTTTAATGAGTTAATTCATTAAAATCATGTGTTAATCAATTAACCAAACTAAAATAGGAAACTTTAAATTTTTATGTTACTTAATCAATTACCACCCCCTTAATCGATTAGAAATTCTTACACTTTGATTAACTAATGCATTTTACCTTCCTAATTGATTAAACAAATTTCTAATTAATTAAGCACTTTTCTATATTGATTTTTAAGAAGTTTTATCATAAGAGAAGAGGTTTGAAAACACTCTTTGTGTGTGTCTTTTTGCATCACCTTACTAATAATATGATCAAAACTAAAGTGCTAAGTGAAGTACAAGAAGAGCTTTTACATTTTCATATCTTTAACTTTAAGATCATAACTTAAAAATCCTTTGCTTGATTCAACATTGTCTAACACTTTAAATTGAAACTTGATATATTTTATTGATGAGACTTGTGATATTTCTTTCTTCATTAAATGCCATATTCAGGAACGTTTGGAAGAGTTGATGTGATCAAAACCATTTGAGAGTTGTATTCAACACAACCATTTGACATATGTCATCACAAACACCATTTGACAGTTGTCATTAATACCACTTGCAGTTGTTATCATCAAAGTCGTTTGACGATATTATATGTACAACACATAAAACCACACAAAAAAAAAGATTTTTGTAAAGAACAAGTTTTTCTTAGTAAAACCAAAATTATTTTCATGTGTTGGTTTTACCGTTTAGCTTTTATGTATAAGATATCAATCTTCTCCTTTTAGTCATCGACTGATATCTGAAATCATCTCTATTTTCATAAAGACATTCGTAAAAACCTTAAAAATTAGAGTATTGCTTAATTTCTCGTAACAAAATTCTAAAAAAGAGTTACAATGGATCTGTCATTTAGACAATCTTCGTAATCTTAAGACTATAAGAATCTACTTAGTCATAATTGAGTTTGATACATAAATTATTCTTTTGTGTATAATGAACATAAAGGAATAATAAATCTAATAAGAAAACATAACAAATAAAACAATAAAAATAAAAATTGTATTAAAAACACATAAGTATTGCACGAATAAAATAGAGATTCTTACAAATATTTTTTTTAATGATTCTCTGTGTGCTGAACAAAGGCTAATCTTGTTTATACTACTATGAATCAAATTCATTTATCCTCCAATAACCACTAATATGTGGGTTGAATACACAATAATAATAAGGAAAAATGAAAAACTTGTAACAGATAACACAAAATGAAAAAAGCAACGCTGTAAAACAGGGAGTCTAGAAGCATTACTAATGTAATGCCGATTACGGACAGGCCGTAATCTTTTTGTTTTCACAAAAATATGGATTTTTTACTCCTAAGACCATTACGCGCGTAATGGCCATTACATGTTAACTGTAATCTCCAACGCCTTTGTGCATTTCTTTGCATTTTTCGCTTTGTTCTTCTTCAGTTTATTTGGGAAGTTCATCCATCTCTAATGCTTAATATAAATATCTTGAATTTAGGTCTTGAACCTTCATTCTTCTTCATACTTGTGAAATAAGATGAAAACAACAAAACTATAGTAGAACGCTAATAAAACTATGGAAAAGTAGTAAATTCAACTATACAATCTATCATATAAGAAAATCTATTGTTCTGGATTTTACCCATATACCCTTCTTGTCTCATAGTCATCCACGTGACTTCATGCAAAGCTTTTCTTTCTTCCTCTTTTCAAAGCTACACGACATGCTTCACATACTCGATCTTTCCAAATTAAAAAAATGCTTCTTTTGCCAATTGATTAAATATTCTTATTTCCCATATATACATTCTCTCTCTTCCTCGTCTTCTTTCATATGTCTTCCTCTACCTTTTTCTTCCTTTTTTCATCTTCTATCTTCTGCTTCCTCTCTATTCTTATGCTTTTTTCTTATGTCTTCCTTTTTTTTTAACAAAAATGTTACTGTTATCCTTCTCTTCTTAGATCTATGAAAAATCAACGATTATGTTGTGTCGCTACGCGAAAAATGACACAGAGTCGCCACCAGATTTTATTTATCCCAAGGAGGAAAAGGGGAATAGCGGTAAAACCTTTGGGAAAAGAGCATGGTCATCACAACCAAGTCTTAGGGTTTGGGAGTCGGTTATACGAGGGGAAGATGTTAGCACCCCCTCGCGTCCATCATACTCGATGGGAACCTTCTAGGTAGTTTAGCGTGAATGAGTGTTTTTATTAAAAGTGTGCTTGCTTAAGGGAAAAGGGTTTTTTTTTTTTTTTTTTTTAATTTTAATGCTCGCCAAGGATTGTGGCCCTGGTGCCTACGTATCCTCACTTAAAAGAAGTGAAGAACCAGAGCTCCGTAGTTCGGGGACTTGTGAAATAGTTGTTTGTTGGTTGATTTTATACCTTGAAAAAAGGTTTTTGGATTGATACCCTAAG